TCCTGCTTCACTTCCTGGTTTTTCGGCTCTTGGATTTTCCCTCATCGGCGCGATGCTTCATCTGATTACACGGCTCTCGACCCCTGCTCAGTTTATGGACCCACGACTCAAGCCTGCTCCACTAAGTCTGGTAATTCTTTTTATTCTGATCCTCGCTCATCCCTGGACCCAGTTGTTGTCTGTTGGATTAAAACCCCAAACAATTCTGAACGGTGACGACGTCACACGGACTCGGACCCTGTCAACTCAAATCAGTGATTGTGTATGGAACACCCACACGAACACCAGGTCAGTGACTTTGTATTTTTTCTCAGTCAAAGTTCACAGTGACTCTGTTGCTAATAGTTTTTTCGTGTATCCAGAAGTTCCAGTCCAACTCGATGTCCTGATCCAGAACCACACCAAAACCTTGCACATTAACAATAAAATCTGTAAAACTGTTTTTGAGTTTGGCATTAATTCAGAGTTCAAGAACCGGTTCATATCAAACACAACATTTTGTTTTTCTGTAAATAAAACTTTAACACCCATCAGGAACACTTACCAATTTTCTGTGAACTCTGGTGTACCTACCCCAGGGTTCTCTGAAGGTCCCATGCTGAAAAGGAGCAATTAATACACACCAAGATGACATTGTGATGTTCTGAAATATACAACATCCTAGTAAAAAATAAAAATGTTGCAGAATTACTTAAAACAATAACTTTTTTTGTTTTTGCTTGCTACAAAAGAACATTCTGTGCCAGCAAGTAGAAGTTAGATTTTAAGTTCTCTAGCACGTGTATATCCAAGTTTAAATACCATGTATTTCTACTATACTACGTACATATTAAACATGTACAGTGCTAAATACAGCCAATTAGTTTTTTCATCAAAAGTGAAATTTGGTGTCAAGTCTTATAGTATGATTTTTATGCCTGAGTTTTTACCATTCCTCAAGATGTTTTTGCAGGTCACACAACGGCTTGTCTTCCCCACATCCCAGGCACTTCTGCATCACCGGTGGTCTCTGACAGTTAAGTAGGATAGAATGCAACATGTACAGTAAATTTTAAATGATTCCAACAAAATGCAGTTACTTTCAGTAAGGTAAGCCCCTTCTGTAATCGTATAATATAGAGGGGCGCCCGCTTTATTTCATCATGATGCCGCAGGAATTGGATGCTGTACCCAAATGGGGGAATTTGGATCTTGATTAAAGTCTTTCCGCGGTCACTTCTAGCCAGCATGAATCCACCAGCTTCCCTGAGAGGGGGGAAGTTCTGATACAGCTCTTCAGTCAGGTATGCATGATCACCTTTGTTACCAAAACAGATCATTTTTTTACCAATCCCACATGATTCATGAAAACAAGCCTCTTCTGGGTTTGGAACATAATCCATATCTGGCTCCGGCAAGCAGACAAAAAAGTGGTTCCATGGCACGTTTTTTTTCCCCGCGCGTGAACCCCCTCCTCTGTATCTGCTGGGTGGACTGGAGGTGTGACGAAACAGCCTGGAAACATTTGTCTGAACTGAGTCACTGCTTGAAACAGGGACATTGTCTGAGTAGGGAGAGAAACGCTCCTGGGGTGTCCGATTCCTTGAGGGAGGCTAACTCATCCGAGATGCTGGGTAGTAAAATGGTGTTGTGTGTGTAATGTTTGAAGTGGAGGATGTAGTAATTTGTGAAGGTGGAGGCTGTGAGGTAGAAGCTGTTGGAAGTGTTTGGTGTGATGAAGTTGTTGCTGCTGCAGGTATAAAGTGAGCTGACTCAGGTGCTGATGTTGAGTGGTTGGCCAGCCTCTCTGCAAACAAGCTGGTTGTTTGCTGCATCTGATGTAAAAGCAGCTGCATTTCGTCACTG